ATATTAAACACGGGTTCTTTATTTCTTAGTTCGTATTGTTACATGCCAATGCACCGATTTAAGCAACACCCAGTTGTTTTCAGCTTTAAAAAAGTCAAAACGATGCAACTGCTTCTTTACTGAGTTTTCGTAATTTCGCAAACTCTAAAAAATATCAAAATTGAAATGGTGCACATTTATATTTTTTAAGGGATAGAAATAACATAATTTTAATAAGTAAAAGGTTCTCATCCGCACATAGATTCATAGATTCAGCTAAGTGAAATATATATATATATATATATAATTATCTATTAAAATTCTTTCTTTGATAATTTAAATAATTTTTCTATGTGCTAATCCATATCGTGCCAATCCGCGGCTAAAATTATTTGCAAAGCAGGCAATTTATGTTTCTCTTTTCTATTTTATATNTTTAGATGGGGAAAAATATACAGAAATTTACTTGTCATAAATGATTTTTATTTGAAGTGACAATTTTTGAAAATATTTTCGTACAATGTTTTTGTGTTGGTTTTTAATGTAACTTTTAATTTTCACAAATTATGCCTAAATTTTCGCAAAATAGGTACCTCTAAAAAAAAAAACCCAAACAGACCCCTGCAATATATTAATATATACCCAGAAGCAGAAAGTGCCTAAAACTGTGACGTACGTCGCAGAACAAACGAAGTCCTGCAGAACAATTTGTATCTTGAATAAATGGAATATCCTGCGAACCCTCCCTCCTCCTACCACCTGCCTCTAGTAGTCTTGCAGAACAATCCCTAATCCTAATCTCATACATTCTTCGGTAGAACATAATGACCCGAAGGTTTAAAAGCTTCAACTCATAATCTTGTAGAACATTTCACACAAATGCATCACAAATCTTTGGCCAGGAAAGTATGTTTCAAGGAGTTCCTATGTCAGATTTGCCTGTTTGCTCCAAAAGACTACGCTCCGTCTTAAATAATTCTCAGCTTTCTATATTTTTCTCAGATGCAATGCAAATTATGATCTACATTGATTCCATGTTGGAGCAGTGTAAAATGTATTTTGAAAAAGAAGAAAACGTTTGATATTGTCATTAAACGAATGAAAATTCTCTTTAGCTTTGACCACTTGCTGTTCCCCAGGAATGATGTTGCTTTAGAAGAGGAACATTTGACACCCTGCAGAAAATTCAGCATATTTATCCGTAATCTCCCTCTCCCATATCTTTGCCATTCTGAGATGGAAATTAATAAATTAGCTTTTGGCTACAACATTTTTTTAAAATGGGTGTATCAGTTTTTAGCAGACAGCAGGAAAAATTGAACACCATTTTCATCAAGAGAGCTTCTAAAGCAAGCCGTAAAAGAATTTAATTCAGAGATTTCCAATTTCATAAAGTTGATGACCTTTATATTTTCCATTCCCATTTCAGAAGCAATTTGTGAATCGTGGGGATCTACGATTGACAGAACTGTTTCTAAAAGACCAAATGCTTTCGATTGAGACAAAGAAGTTGTTGGAACAACAAACCAGCGAATGTTTGTGTTTGCAAATGATGCACCATCTGGGCACTAGTCCCTTCAAAAGATTTTTAAGGCATCAATTATTTTAATGTTCGGACCTTCATATCATAGGCATTTTATGAATAATTCATCATCATCATTAACAAAATTTTGTACCTCAAAAGTGATTGAAAAAATAACAAATCAAGAATGTTTGCCTTGGATTAAAGGATTCAGACTTTCGTATCATGTTTACCAAGATATTTTACGATTTAGACTTTTTAATATTTTTCCATTTTTAAAAAAAAAAACTTATCTTACTCTACATTACAAAATCCTTATCTTACTCTACAAAAACCTTTAAAGTAACAAAACCAGTACTTGAAAACTCAATATGAATATTCTTTGACATTTAACGTTAAGAATGATAGCTAGCAAAGTGCACTGAACCTTAAAATTACACGCAATGTAAACAATGAATACAGATTCCATCGATAAAACATCAGCGTAGCATAAAGCGAAATCTATTTTAAATATGCCATGATTGTTACTGGAACATAAAAGCGAAGTTATGGTGTAGCAACGCCGAAATTCTGTAATCTTGATGATCATTTCATTGGCTTCTCCATTAAATGCAATGAAGCAAGAAAACACTAATTAGTCTTATTCGGCTCCTAAGCTCAATTAAGGATTCCATTGTGCTTAATGTTTCTTTACTTCTTCTAACAACTTTTGTCACTTTCTTCAACGATAAATGAGTGCTTAATGTAAGGACCTAATTTATCTACAGTTTTAATTGATTCTTATTATTAAATGCTATTGAAATTAATGCATTTCAAATGATTTTATTTTGAATGAGATGGAAGATCATAGCTCATTTTTCCCGCTATCATTCTTTCAATTATAATGTAAAAAAGTATTATAATAAAGCAAATATGTAAAGATATTGTAAAAACTTTATCTAGCCTGAATTAAATTTGGATGGACAAAGATATTTAAAAAATGGAATAAATTCTTGTAATCAACTAACAGGAAAAAGAGTTTCCTGTTTATTTTTTGCAGCGTTCTCTCAAAACAGATTTATTACTTTGATCAAGTTTAGAATTGTTTTAAATAAGAGTCTCGACAATTTTTTTTAATAATCTGAGATAAAAAATGATCTGCAAATGCTGTAATAGTTTGCAGCTTCCTCTGTTGTGCTCTTCTGTTAAATGAAGTCACGGGTTATCTTTCTGAATATAGTACCTGAAACGCAAAGGTCGTGAATTCGAATTTTATTTTTGCTCAGTATTGCTTCGATTTCAATCGAGAGCCTGTTTGCTTTTCGTTTATATGCATTGAAGTTCTTCCGGGACTTCTGTGCACAAGCCTGTAACTTTCTTTACCATTTCCCAAAATCATATTTTTTCAGACACTCCAGCTGTCTTTCGAATGAACGTAACGAATTGGATGAACGCTGTAACCCTTCGAAATTTTCTTTCCTCTAATAAATGCATCTTTAAAATTCTGCGCCCACCTACGTGACCCATGCTATGAAAAGAAGGCACGTCACAACAATATTTATAGTAGTAGTTGTTGTAGTTAATTTACGTAGCACTAGAGCTGCACAATGGGCTATTGGCGACGGTCTGGGAAACATCCCTGAGGATGATCCGAAGACATGCCATCACAATTTTGATCCTCTGCAGAAGGGATGGCACCCCTGCTTCGGTTGCTCAACGACCTGCACGCGAAGTCGAGCACTTTACGGCAAAACAGTTTAACGAGGACCAATACCGCACACACTCGGTCCCTACGCAGACTGATCCAAGTGGTCATTCACCCGCACACTGACCACAGCCAGTGATGCTTGACTTCGGTGATCTGCTGGCAACCGTGTCTTAACAATCAGTCCCCTGCGGGACACAATATTTATAAAGTTGCGGTGGGAATTCAGCCTGCTGTCTCCATGCGTCATAGCGTTAGCTGGGGGGGGGGGAGGCTATATACCTTAACTCCGAAGAACTCAACTTTCTGAAACATAAATGAATAAATAACAGTATTGAGGGCCTCCCAAGCCGAACGGTATCACGCACCAAACGTTGTGCAAAGCGTGGAGGTAGCGGGTTAGAATCTTGCTGCTACCCTGGATGTATCTATGTGCTGTCTTTCTCTGTATTGTGCNATACCGCACACCCTCGGTCCCTACGCAGACTAATCCAAGTGGTCACCCACCCGCACACTGACCGCAGCCAGTGATGCTTGACTTCGGTGATCTGCTGGGAACCGTGTCTTAACAATCAGTCCTCTGCGGGACACAATATTTATAGAGTTACGGTGGGAATTCAGCCTGCTGTCTCCATGCATCATAGCGTTAGCTGGGGGGGGGGGGCTATACTCCTTAGCTCCGAAGAACTAGACTTTCTGAAACATAAATGAATAAATAACAGTATTGAGGGCCTCCCAAGCCGTACGGTATCAAGCACCAAACGTTGTGCAAAGCGTGGAGGTAGCGGGTTAGAATCTTGCTGCTACCCTGGATGTTATCTATGTGCTGTCTTTCTCTGTATTGTGCTATATGTCCTCATATTTGACAAAGGTTTATAAGCATAAATTGAGCACACAAGCCTACAAACGTATACAACTTCAATAAATAAATAAATAAATTCTAATAACTGTGCTTTAACAAGGGCTTTTCTGAGTAATTTCTTCATTGAGGAAACTCTGGTGAACGAACCTGAAACCTTCTATGTCGCTGCTTCAAACTGTTATCTATCTGATTGATTTCTTTTTTCATTATAAGTTGTTCTGGAAAAAAAAACTGTGGGTCTTCAATATCTTCGGTGCAAGAATTAACGGCATTATATGCTTAAGTATATTTTAACAACCTCTTGAATATTTTCATACTTTTATTTTCCCCTTATTCTTGTCCTAGCATCGAAAAGGTTCTGGGTTCAAATCTCGGGCAAGGCATGGATGTTTTTTCCTTCTCTGTACTATCTGTCCACCTAATACGGTGCCCTTGAAAGAGTGGCAAAAAAATATGCCCTTCAGGTGCCTGTACGACCTAGGTCATTATCCAGGTGGGCATTGGAAGGAAAGCAATTTCCACTTATTTAATCCTATTTCAAATAGGTACTTGAATTATATTCGCTGATAAGTATCGGAGTTCCTTAATTATTTGGGACCGGAAACTGAGACTTCTTCTATTGGTAGTTGTAGCAGTTAATTTACTTCGCACTAGAGCTCACAATGAGCTATTGGCGACGGTCTGGAAAACATCCCTGAAGATGATCCGAAGACATGCCATCACAATTTTGATCATCTGCAGAGGGGATGACACCCCCGCTTTGGTAGCCAACGACCGGTACGAGAAGTCGAGCACTTTACGGTGGAACGAGGATCAATACAGCACACCCTCGGTCCCTACGCAGGCTAGTCCAAGTGGTCACCCACCCTTATACTGAACGCAGCCAGTGATGCTTGACTTCGGTGATCTGCTGGGAACCGTGTCTTAACGATCAGTCCACTACGGGACCCTTCTTCTATTGGAGCCCGAGGATTTCATTTGTTAGCTAAACAGAACACCAACATTATATCAAAGAGACTACAAACACAGAGAGTAAATGCTGTCTTAACTTCAATTTTATTTTCGGTACTGTCTAAATATATCTTTTGCTTGTATCGTAAGTTTGCTTCCTGAGACATTCTTTTTCTGAAACTTTTATCTCATTCGAGGCCTTTTCTATCCAATATAACATTAATAGTTCAACGAAAAAGAGAAATACGCCATTGCAAATAATATCATTAAAGTATTACTCAAATAATATCATTAAAGTATTACTATACATCAAAAGAAAAAGATGCAGTATTATAATCATAGACAACGTTTAGATTGGCTTAATGTTGAAGAGAAAACCAAAGTTGTGACTCCTATAATAAAAATGGATAAGGTATTTCAACGCATAAGACAAACCTCTACAGAAAACTTGGTTATTATCAACTTGGGACTAAACATTCCAGAAATGGTAAATAGAACTTCGTTATATAGTGAACATTTTTTTGCAGCAGGTACAGATACCTGGTATCTCGAGTTAAAGCCATCTAATTGCAGTCACATGTATTTAAATTTATGTAATGACAACACTCATCGATATAAAGTAATGTTTCTACGTTTCACCTCTGCTGTATTCAATTTAGAAGAAAAAGTTCTCCATAGTTGCAATTCTGGTGCTTACGTAATTTATCCAACCGATTTCCCGTTTGATTTGCTAAAATGGTCCATGAAAAAATTCCAAGTTGTCAGCTGTCCCATAAGAATCACGTGTTGGTTGGAAATCTCAAATGTTCAAAAATCATTTGTACCATCCGTTTTGAAACATGACGTTGCTAGGTTTGAGTCTCTAAGAACAGTAGTTGATGACTTAAAAATTGGTCTAAGCAATCCGGTGGATGCAGATGTCATTTTTCGTATCAAGGGCATCAGTATCATCAAAGCTCATAAACATATACTTCGTATGAGGTCTCCAGTATTCAATAACATGATTGCACAAGTGGATGGTAAAGAGATTGTAATTGATATTAAAGATATAAGTGCAGCAGCCATGACAGAGCTTGTGTCTTACATTTACACTGGATCCAAAAATGTCCTGGGATTTCGAGATACTTTGGATCTCTACTACGCATCTGGTAAATATGAAATTAAATACTTGAAGGATGATTGCAGGAATGATTTGCTGTGCCATCTTCAAATCGATAATGCATGTGATTTGTTCGTTTTTGCGTATCATCATAGCGATCAGCTCTTGGAAGATGAAATAGTAAGCTTTTTGAACAATAATTTCGAAGCAGTAGTAAATTCTAAATCGTTTGAACAGCTGTCCAAAAGTAATAACATAGTGCAGTCACTTTTGCGTCAATATTTTCAGAAATATTCGAATCAATAATTTAAATTTACATTACAATTTCAAAAAATATCTACGTTTTATAAAAGCGCAATTGTTCTTCCAATTAGTAATGTATTTCCTACAACAAAGCTGATAAACATGTAATCAAGGTATTTTTCATGGTTGACCGAAATATAATAAATATAAATTGTGTTTTTCAAATCTGGTGTTCATCATAAATTACTGGTTTACTGAAACTGCTAGTTTTTAACAAAAACGTTAAGATGGACTACTAAAACATAATTTAGCAATAAACTTCCTAATATTAGTGATAAATCAGGTTAAAGTTTAATAACTATCAATCATCAACAGGTTTGGAAAACTATCAACCTTTGTATTTCAAAAGATTAGCCAAAAATTATAAATTTAATTTGTTTTTCAAATCTGTGTTTCATACTTAATTTCATAGTTAATAATATATATTTATATAAATGTGTGTGTGTGTGTCTTATAAACTTCTACATAAATTAAATTATGTTATAAATAACAACTGGTAGTTATGGAGTATTGGACTATAATTTGTTTTATCTTTAATCTAACAACTCCAAAATTCCATCCAACATTAAAATTCGAATTACACCTTTTTTTAACAAAGAAAATAAATTTTAATAGTTTATAATTCCGGTACCAGATGTAATAAATTATAAATGTATTTTTGCAAAACTGATCAGTTTGTAAAATTATTGACGTGGGCTTGTTCAGGGTGATAAAATGCTCTGTTTTTCACTTAAATAGTTCATAAAATTGGATTATAAATAAAATTAAGCTGCTTGAGTTATCAATTAACCTAATTGAAATTAATTTCTGAAAATTTTAAGGTCTTGTAATTATATCAAAAAAATACTCAAGCAATGTAGATTCCTTTATATTTAAAATTTTCTTTTTAAGATTAATGCATATTTCATCAGTAATATGTTTATATTTGATGGATAATAAATTTAATGCATGAAAGGATATCAATATTTTTTGTATGATTGTGAATTTTGTGATATTTTTGTAACATACAAACATATACATGCAAATATACACGCAGTGTCATAACTCTAAAATGCAGCATTTGAGAAAATCAACTTAAAGAATACTATAAGACTTATTTTGAAATAGACACAAAACTGACACAACTGCCCTCAACTGGATAAATTGCGAGTTATAGATGTGACACTTTTTTACCATGATGGGGCACCTCTTATATATTTTTTATTGACATACCCTCAAAATTGCTGTTTCTTGACTTGTGTCACTTTTTTTGCCGGATTGCGATAAATGCATGCAAATATACAAACATATTTTAATTTGTGAATGCTATTGGTAGATCCAATTTTTTTTGGGAGAGCATTTTTACAAAAATTTTGTACCCAACTATTATATGCGTTGCCCAATCTTGTGTATCATAGTTTTAGAAATTCTATAACAATATCAACCCACTGACGGTTCTGAACGCATAGCAGCATTTTGTCTTTTCTGCATGGCAAAACTGTTTTTTCTATGTTATTAGATAGGGAAATAGTGAATTGCAGAGAAACATTCTCGCAATTTTACCCATTTGCTAAACCACCAGTGGGTTGAAAATCCATATCACAACAGTGTGTTAACCCCTTCCTTCTCGCTCCCGTGAAAATAACGGGGTGAGGTTTCGACCTCTATTTCTCGCTCCCGTGATATTTCTGGGCTGGAGTGTTCAGTAGTAACGAGTCAATAAGAATAAAACTAATTCATTTCTTTTGCCCGGAAAACATTTTATTTCTCATTTTACACACCAGATGGCAGTACCAGAAGATTTTTATGAAATCGTAGATAGTTTATTTTAAACTAGATGCTAGAACTAATCAGGGATACAGTGATTAAAAAAATAGGCACTTTTATGGCCGTTTTCCTGGAAATGAACCGATCGTTAAGGGGTTAAGGTATTTAAACCTTGTTATAAACCCTAAATTATTGACTCAGTTTGATTTTTTTCTTAAATTGCATAAATTCTTATTTATGAAGATACAAGAAACTTTTTATGTTCCAAGAGTTTCTTAAGACATGCCGAAGAATGTGCTGCGTGTTGCGTAATAACTGCAACATATACATATGTAGAATTTTGTCCTAAAATTACACTATGTCTTGCACATGGCTAGTGAGAAACAAAAGCTCAATCCAAATGTAACGAATCACTTCAGAAAAAAGTGAGACGGAAGAAATCAAATTTCCACTCCACTGATGAAAAATAATAAAAATATGGTTCTATGATATACCGGTTCTTTCTTGGAGATTTGAGATCTTGTTTTTGTCACGCGGATTGCTGTTGCCTTATTTTAATTGTTTTTAAATATAGTTAATTTACTTTGCAGTTCTGCAACTGAGCGCTTGATATGTTAACACTTAACGTTGTGGTTATTCGGAACCAAAATCCAAATTAATGACAAATGCGCCTTCAGGAAAAATAGGCACAACTTGTAATACGTGTTTGAAAAGTTGAACACAGTTTAAATACCGTGTTTATGAAACTGTGCGTAGAAAAAGGTTTGCCTCTTATATAGAAGAACGTAACTTGTTAACGTTCACGAAAAGGTCAATTCGATTCATATTAAGTTTGAAACAGATTCATATCTAACAAATATTAAAAAACTTACGTTTTTTAAAAGTTTTTTTTAAAGTTTTTTTTTAACTACGAATATTATTCATTATTTACTATTAGCCACTTAAAAAAAACTTATTTAAGAAATAGTTTTTAGTTAATAGCATATCTTATAGAACAGTTGTCCCGCAGTGGACTGATCGTTAAGACACGGTTCCCAGCAGATCACCGAAGTAAAGCATCACTGGCTGCGGTCAGTGTGCGGGTGGGTGAACACTTGGATCAGTCTGCTTAGGGACCGAGGGTGTGCGGTATTGGTCCTCGTTAAACTGTGCTACCGTAAAGTGCTAGACTTCGGGCGCAGGTCGTCGGGCTACCGAAGCGGGGGTGCCATCTCCTCCGCAGAGGATCAAAATTGTGATGGCATGTCTTCGGATCATCCTCCGGGATGTTTCCCAGACCGTCGCCAATAGCCCATTGTGCAGCTCTAGTGCGACGTAAATTAACAACAACAATTATAGAATAGTTAGAAACAAAAGTGCTCTGACCATTTCTTCAAACTCTAATTTCAAGCTATATTTATTTTTTCAACACGATTTAAAGCGGTGTTTATTTTTTCACACGCATTTAGAGCAGTGTTCATTTTTTTTCACACGCATTTAAAGGAGTGTTCATATTTTCACGCGCATTTAAATCAGAATCTATTTTCTTCAATACACATTTTATACTGTGGCTATTTTTTTCAAACGTGCGTGCCAAACCATGTTGCTATTCATGAAAACGCATTTTGAGCGGGTGCATTTTCTTCAGATTGCATTTTTGCAATTATGCGTGCGTAAGGCCGTGGTGGCTCAGGAAATAGAACGCTACTTGCCTCCTAATGAGGTGACCCGGGTTCGAATCCCAGCGATGGCTGGTTGATTCGAATGTGATCCTAGCCTCTTCAAACTGCACAGTATGCAATATAAAAATGGAAAAAAATTCGAATAACTTTTGATCTAATAATTAGATTTTCAGGTACTCCTTTCTTAATGGTTCAAAGGTCTATCCTTAAATATACTAATTATTTAGGGCAGACGATATTTTAATTAGGCATAAACGCGCATTTACTCTAAATAAAAGTACTATTTTTTTCAATGATCATCAAAATTTAGCCAGTAGCAGTAATCTGAAAAATATAGGCCCAATCGTGTGGGCAGAAAGGGGTTGAAAGTTTAGACTCATTAATATTAATTTCACTTTTAGAGTATTTTGCCGGAACTCGAAAACATTTTAAGTGAGTCTAAAACTTTTTGCACACGATTATAAAGTTAATCAATCCAAAAATCTATCTGCACTAATTAATTAGTATTTGAGTTAAGTATCTTGACACATTGAGTCCTAGCACGTAAAAATTCGATCAATATTAGTTATTCAGAATGTACACTTGTTTATGTTTCATACTGTACATAGTAATCGAATTTATTTAAAAAATCAATATAATTCTGTGTAATATGCAAACTTAATAATATTTATCCAACAATATCCCTTTTTTATATTAAAATGTTTAAACTTTCTCGCGATATTGACTTTCAAACCAATCAGTTTTACAAATTATCTCCCCTCCCCCTACAAAAGTCAATCAGTCAAACGGTTATTATAAATTATGTTACATACAATTTCGTTTTTTTCTATATTAATCTTAATTTATTTGTAATTCACTTTTCTTTAAATCTTATGAAATGAAAAACACTAATGGAAAACATATGTTAATTTCTAATTTCTTCTTCCCTCTTTTAATATGACGTCATTTGCTGGAGAACCACTAATATTAGTGCGATTGCAATTGAAGTAATCGTTTTCTATCCTTAATCGAAACCTGTAATTTAATAATGATAACCCGTAATAATGCGGAAAAATTCTAATTTCAGTATCGATCTCAAATATATCGATTTAAGAAATGTTGTTTTATTTTTTGTTACAACGATTTGATCACTTTAACAATTGTAGCTTTAGGAATAATGTTGTAAAAGCAAACAGCATTGAGGTTTCAACTATTTAATCATATCCCAGAGATGTTTCTTTTTTCTTTGAAAATTTATTTTATTTGTATTTGTTATGATTCTTTAAATGAATTACTCCGTTAATATTAAAATGCTAAATCTGTTAAGCTAAAAAAATATTATTTAATTAAATAGTTGCCTAAAATTTTCGGTAATGATTGAATTAAACAATATAATTAAAAATCAATTAAAAATTACTAAAACATGTTTTCATATGAAATTCCAAATGCAAATTAGCTTTGTAGAGAGCTAAAAAATTTCTTTTACGAAAAAAGTTTTAAAGAAACGAGAATTCAAGAAAGTAAAAATGCTAAAGAGTCATCCATAAAATAAAAAGCTTAAATTTTACTTAGAAAAAGCTTTGGCTCTTCGGAAAGTTATCTAAATTTTAATGACGATAGAATTGCAATATATTCTGCTTATTGCGATTTGAAAACGGTACGAGAAACGGTAGATATTTGAGTGTTCTAGCAAGTCTAAAAATATTGGAAGTTTCATTTGTAAGAAATAATGTCTTAAAATTTACACGTTTAAAGGGGAAAAAGGTCTATTTTCTGATT